AGCTAATTAATTCCTCCGCAACACATTTCTGCAGTCTGATAAAAAGCCTGACGCATCAAAATCATAATGTCTATATCATTTGCTCTCTTGTCACACTGCATCAGCCCATTAGAGTTAATCTATTCTGCTGGAGTTGTATCTTTAATATATTTTTATTTTAACTCCTTAAGCCTGACGGTAACATACCACGTTTAGCCCTTTGGTGGAGTTCAAGTAGATGTTTGTGTTCAAGATCAGGGATAATTTCCTCCTATCAGTCTAATATAACATGTTTGGTATCGCTAGAAAGTCTACAATAGTTCTGAGCAACTTAAAACACTGTTTATCAGCATGTCTTAGTAGGTACTCAATGTTCTACAGTCAAGTTTAGCCTTAAGTGCACTGGTTGTCAGTGGCCACCTGTTTTGTATATATCTTCATAAATTATATCATAAGTTGTATATGTGAGTGTCTTTTTTGGGCCAGAGAGTGCTTTTATTGGAGATGCAGAGTTGAAATGGGGATGACATTGCCTGAAATGGGGAGTCAAACCTACTTACTTGGCAGCGGACACCACAATTCAGTGTATTTTAATTGAATGTGCAGTCACAGTTGCATCATTATCCGTGGAATCTTGTTATAGTGGTGATATTTATGTATCATATGCTAGGCAAGGATACAAATCTTGCATCTTGTAAAAATAAATGTATTTCGAAGGCAACATACTAAATAAGTTAACCTATCACATTCCTAAGCTGATTACTTTTTCAAATAAGACAAGAAATATGAATACAAACCTTATGGTTGAGGAGCTACACCTGATGGCATGTTTTCCCTAAGGCTTAAGCTAGTCATGATGAGCATCCTGTATTTATCCGGTGGAACACTCTTTGTGCGGTAAACCTTTTGATAAGTCACTTCTCATTAAGTCCTATTGGTCATGGAAAAGTGTGAGTGTTGCTTATTAAGCCCTTTCACCCATGCAGGTAAAACATCTTGTGATTCCACCTTGTTAAAAGCTGTCACATTGTTATGGTTTTGTAAATTGTACTTGGTTTTAGCTAAGTATCTCTGTCTCCTTCATTTTATGTTTCTCTCACTGCCAAAGCCAAGATGATGTGTAAGCTCTCTCTCGTGGGAACCCAAGAGAAATGACAGCACTTTTCTCAGGGGAGCAGCGCTGTCATATGCAATCATGTCAGAGTATGGTATAGAGAACCCACAGCGGACAACCGCAGCATGTATGTGTGTGTGTGTGCATACAGTAGTGAGTGCTGGTGTGTGTGTGTGTGTGTGTGAAAATGTTCCCTCCCGTGGACAGCAGCCTTGAGTTAACTTATGTCCAATCAGCAAGGCGGCAAATGTATGCTGCAGTCATTAATCACCCGCAAACGCATATGTGCTGCGGGCAGACAGTCTTTACTTTGAAATGCGAGCCGAGTTTACTCATTATTGATGTGTCAACACATTTAAATAAATGTAATAAAAGAGATCTTCCTACATTGAAACTTTCCTGATACATTATGCAAAGAAAACATATTGTAACCATGCTTCAAACAGGAATTGAGCTCAAACTAGAACTACTCAATAGCAGAAATTAGAGAGTTCTCTTCCTCACTCCTTTTTTTGTTTTATTGACAATGAATAATTAAGTTGTATAACAGAGCAGTAAATATGATTTTATGACTTTGAAACACAGACCCTCTTACAGTAACTGGTTGTGTTTGAGGCACACCTCGGAGTATGGCATTTATGATCATTTCTGAATCTCTATTTGAAATATATATAAAGAAACTGAAAATGTCTACTCTGCTATTTGAAAAGCCCTGAGGAGTTCAGGTTGGCAGAATCAATATTACGACTTAACACAGATTTTCTATGGGGTTTTATATGATGGGCCTTAGAGAATAGGAGTGAATGCTGATTCTCTCTGCTGTCTCGGTTTGGACTTCATAATTCTATCCTGTTATGTCCAGTTTTCTCTGTCATCCGTGAAGTATTTGTTGTTAGATCTTAAGTCAGATACAAATAAAGGGATTTTATTTTGCATTGTTTCCCACATTTGTGTACAAAGGTTGTTTTCCATCAATCATCTTTTTACACTGCCTTCTGAAAGCCTGATTTTCCCCCTTTTTTTAAGTCAAATCTGTTCTCCGTCATTCTCAGAAATAACTCTTATGACCCACTAGGAAGGAGGAAGGTTGCTAAGAGGTCAACACATTCATTTATGGGGAGATGAGAGGGAAGGAAAGAAGGGATGGGTGCATGGGGAGGGGTATACACACCTTGTAAACCTGCCTGGCAGATACATTCGTCATCATCTGTGTGTGTGGCTGTGTGTTTGTGTTAAATAAGCTATTGTGTGTGTGTGTGTGCAGCAGAGAAATAAACAGTTATGATGGACTGATTTAATTGCGTTTGCCTCTATCATCTGTCTCTGTTCACCTGTGCCCCAGAGATATGCTGAATATACAACCTATATACACTTAATGTTCTTATAAGTAAGGCAATGAGCTGAAAAGAGGTAAATAAATGCCTTATTGATTTCTGATATTAATCCCAAAGGAGGGGAAGGTTTTAAGGGGAGCGGATTGTAGGGCTGCTCGATTATGGCAAAAATCATAATCTCGATTATTTGGGTCAATAATTGATATCACGATTATTAAAAACGATTATCCATTTACTTTGAAAACATCAATTTATTGGAGAAAAAAAATGTGAACAGTATGTTTTTAACAGTTGATTACCCTGAACTGTAAGTATAATTCAACTGAAAAACCAATAGAAAAAAAAAGAAATTATAATAAAAAAATAATCGTTTTATTTCGATTACGTTGTTTTCGTAATCGTTGCAAGCCATAATCGTAATTGCGATAAAAATACGATTAATTGAGCAGCCCTAGCGGATTGCTTATGCTGTGAGTAAGGATGAAGGAGATGCACAGCAACTTCAAGAATATGAGTATAACATTAGGATTTGTGGTTGTTATCTTGAGTTGATGACAAGACACCGCCATCATGTTGGCTAACTTAGCTTAGCACAAAGACTTGATACAGGGGGAAACAGTTTGCCCGGATGTGTCTAACAATATTCACCATGAAAATATTCTTGTTTGTTTATTCTTACAAAAACAGAACTGTAAAAACTGCAAATTGCTACTGTACCTTAGGTCATATGCTGGATTATTTCTAGGGGAAGCACCAAGAAGTTACTAGCGTACAGACACAAGACATCTAACTTGTGACAAGAAAGCCCTTAAGTGTTTGGTCTGATATCCTTTTTCCTGCTTTTGTGTGTTTTTAAGATGATCCTCCTGAACAAACAGCAGGTGTGTTGGATCTGAAGGTTAAAGGTCAACTCCTAGTTTACACCTCCACCTTGGCAAGTGGCAGCTCAGGGGTTTGCCCTCCATTACTAAGACTTCCGCAGGCTGTAACATGTCAGCGTACACTGGCTGTGTGGGTGAGTGAGAGACTTGGAGAGAATAAAGAAATCTCCAATGAGTGGGGGGGGACATCTTGTTATTTAAGAAGTAGGCAGGGATTTGGAGCCGTGTTTGGCTTTGTGTCGCAGTAACATCGCCCGCACACCTCATTGAAACCACTTTAACAACGGCTTACAGAGGTGCAGGTTCCCATTCTCTCCTTTTATGGGCATTTTTGCCCCCATTTAAGACTCTTCTAAGATGAATCACCTCAACAAAGCTTTTACTGGGCTCCCTCTCTTTCTTCCCTACAACCATCCATAGCTGGGCCACTTCCTAGAATAGCCTTCCTCATCTGCCTACATTTGAATGGATATGGTCAAAAATCATGTTTTTTTCTCGGTGACGGCAACACCGCTAAGAATACAGCCGGATATTAAAAGTACCAGACATGTCAATTCAAGTTTAATCAGTGCTTTAACAAGGCCTCATCACTGTCAATCCCAGTCGATCACTCCGTCAGCACCTGATCTCCACATCGTTGCACGCACTCGCTCTCATTACAGCAGAGAGGCGAGGTGTTGTTAGCATGATTAACTGGTGTTGGTCCCTGTTGGGTTGTGCGGATGGATGGTGTTTTGCCCTCTGTGATCCTGATTGCTTTGCTCTCATTTCTCACCCTTTTCATCACATATCCATGCAATGTTGTGTAACATCATGTTACTCTCATAATGTCTTAAGTTATTTATGTGACGTGTTCCAACACCTATTGGATTGATCCGCATACATTTTGGATCCCTGATTCTGTCGGCTTTGGTGATCCCCAGTCTTTTCCTGTAGCCCAACCATGAAACTGACATTCCGAGTTCTGACTGAACTATCTCAACAACTATTGGATTACTATGTCAAGAAACTGAACATGGACATATCTGCTAAATGTCAGCCTGTTAGCGTTGTCGTGGTGATGTTAACAGCCTTAGAAAAATGCCAGCACAGTTTTTCTTGAGGCTTTTTGAGGTAGAAAGATGTATTAAGCTCTGTTCACATATTATGGTTCTGTGGTTTGGGGAAGTCATCTTTGTATTTGATGTTCGTGTGAGTGGAGGACAATTGGGACTGCACTGCATCTGTAAGGCCATTAGCATGGCTGACTGGGCAGACAAAGTGCTGAGGTTTGTTAGCCTGGCTGTGCATGATGAAAAAGGACAAGACAGTGCTAAGTCGGTGAAACAGATGAGGCAACATGGCTGTTAGCAATGTCAAAACATGACTTCTCTTTCTTTTCCTCCAGGATCCTGTTAAACTGTACTTCTCACATCGTATTCCCTCTCCACGGGCCCTTTTTACCCTTAAACTCACATCATGTTCTGTCATTTCTCTTTCTCCTATGCTAATGTTTTCTCTCCATTGCTCTGTTAGAAAAAATCTGGTAATGTTTGACCATATGAAACAGTGAAACACTTGTTTTTCTTTTCTGTCTGTCTCTTGTATTGTTGCAAACAACAAAATGACAAGGTATTTTACAAGACTTGTCGCTCTTACTAAGTTGTATCTTCTTTTCCTTCACCCCTCCCCCCCTCCACCTGACTCCTGTAGGTAGTGGTGTCGCAGCTGAAGGATGCCGCTGGTGAAGCGCACCATCGAGCCCAGGCACCTGTGCCACACGGTGCTGCCAAGGAACATCAAGAATGAGCTTGAGTGTGTGACTAACATCTCCTTGGCCAACGTCATACGCCAGCTCAGCAGCCTCAGTCAGTAGCACAGACAAACACACACACACACACACACACACACACACACACACACACACACACACACACACACACACACACACACTCATATTCTCTCACAGTTATAAGAAAAGACACACACAGCACAAACACACCTTGGCTCTCCGTAAGTCGATTAGCTGACCGTTATAAATGAGGTACTTAGTCAGCTAATGCATACTTGTCAGTTTTCATTCTGTCCTGCTTATTTTCTGGAAACTACATTGCTGGCATTACAGCATTGGAATATGCAGGAAATTACCTGGCCCATTTTATAATCTTACACATTCAAGATCACAATCACAATTACATATTTCTGTAGTATTTCTAAAGATATAATACAACATACGTACAAATCTGTAGAACACATTAATTGAAGAAAAAATAAAACATTTAAGAAAAAATATGATTTTTCTTCATCAGTTAAATGTGCGTCCAGTATCACACATGCCTTTGTTAAAACACCTCTACACACACATCTCCAACAGAGCAGTCGGCCCCAAAACACACAATCACAGCACTTTCTACTGTGCTGTGATTGTGTCTTACAAAGCATTTTAGTTTCCATTTTTTAAAACGAGCACCTAAGTGTTATAGATATAAACTCCATACAAAGATAGTTATACAAGACAAGCAGACGGTTGATGTTAAACATAAAGTGAGATTGTTCAACCAAAGACAAGTGACACTTTGAATAAATAATAGAAATCTATTTAAGACTTAATATTGTCATTATAATTGCATAATAAAATAATGTTCTTTGAATTATTTAATCATTTTAAATGTTAACACTGTTATTTGACTTTAAAAAGCGTGAAAATAAATATGTTCTGTGCCTGTGTGTATCTGTGTAGGTAAATATGCAGAAGACCTGTTTGGAGAGCTGTTCAACGAAGCACACACCTTCTCTTTCCGGGTCAACTCCCTGCAAGAGCGCGTGGACCTCCTCTCCATCAGCGTCACACAGCTGGACCCCAAAGAGGAGGAATGTGAGTTCTCTAGAAACACACACAAACACACACACACACACTTACTTGTGCACTCTCACTCTGTTGCTGTCACTCACACCTTCACCTCCTACTGCACTCAATTGGATGTGCACTTGCTGATGTGCCTTAGAGTGTGTTTGTTTGTCACCTGTGTGATGGACCTCGTCTGCCCCCCCCCAGTGTTAATGGCTGTTATTAGAGGGACAGGCAGCCATGAGACAATGTCATTTGTCATCCCCAACAGTACAAAACAGAACAAAATTCAGAGTTTCACTTTGGCTGAAGGCAACCTCTGAGTCTGAAAACTTAAGCCATTTGGCGTTTTTTGGTGTGTATGAACTTTCCCATACTTTTAAGAACATATATTGAAGAACACCACCCTTATAGTGTACTAATCACAAGCATTAGGAACGATCATAATTCTGAGATTGCAGTTTTAAGAGTCCTTTTAGCTCCTATTTCAAAGGTATTTCTCCAACACATATGAGCAGTACAGGTAACCGGTATTTTTTACAGACAATCATTTAGACAAATGCAGACAATTGGGCTGACAGTGCAGTCTAAGAGTTAATTTGTGAATACATATAAATAGCCAATACGAACTGATATCGCTACAGGTTCCTTACAGAACAGTTGCTTTGCATGTGTTTACATGATTGTGGTATATAACAGAGTTGTTTATGTATTCCTGTATTAAAGCTAAGACAGTTTGTTGAATGTAGCAAACTTGCCGCTCTCCTGGCTTGAGATGTGAACCCCAGCTGGCTTTCCTAACTTCAGAGTTTTATTGGAGGTGCAAATGCAAGCAGAAAAAAGCCCTTGAAGGTTTGCTCGTTTACCCACTGAAGACTTCTCTTTGTAGGGAGAAGTTGAATCTGTGGTCAGAATGTATCTTTTGGAAGGATGACAGGATAGCGTAGCTGGAGGAGAGTGCAGTGGGCACAAAGTCAAAAGAGAGGGAATCACAGCGGTGTAATACCATGCTCCAAGGCGTCGTATCGATTTCCCATGGGCCAGCAGTGTGTTTATGGCTTTGCACAATGCTACCCTTAACTGCTTCCTTGTCACTGACACCGAGACAGTAAAATGCTCACTGAGCTGAACTCGCAATTATGGCTTTCCTGTAACTGCAGGCTTTGATACTTTTTTTTACAATCCAATAAACAGTTTGTTGTTTTTTGAAGAATCATGGGGTTGTGTTTTTAAACACAGTCAGAGAGCAGACTCTTAGATCACGGATTGTTCCTTCTAATCTTCCTTTTGGTTGTGTCCTGCATTTCTTTCCCGCTTCCCCCTTCAGTAACTTCACTCTTTTGAATTGCTTTGCCCTCTACCTGTCTTTCTGTTACCACTCCCTGCTTCTCTCCCCCCCCCTGACCCTTTCTCCTCACCCTGTCCACACACAGTAGCCATCATAATCTAATAATTGTGTGTGATCTAATTGTGGAAGTCTGTTGTGTGGGGTGTCTCAGCTGGTAAGTGAGTCCAAATTATCCTTCAGAGGTCGAAGGGCAGAGACACGCTGACACACTCGTCCTCTCACACACACAAGCCGCACTATCTCACCCTGCAGAGGATAAGATGTTAAAATTGATCTTAACAGATACATATCTACAGATGTTCTGGGGGAAATGCCCAAGTAACAACAAAGATGGTCTTTGTATCATATTAACAAAAAGCCTTCCTGTTCATATTCATGTGACTTAGGGCTTTTTGGACACGGATTATAAGTGATGCTGTGTGTACGCTTGTGTCCAATGAATCTGTGCATGTGGTCCTGGGTTTTTATCTCCCTTCATTAATAATCCTGATTTAACATCTTCAGCCTAAAGTACTATCTTAAGAGACAGTGGATAAGGATCAGCTCAGTTGCAGTTTAAGTGTTTGGTGGTGTTGGGAGTCGGAGGGGAGGAGGAGAGTAAGGAAGATGGAAGGATAGAGTGATGGGCGCATAATACAGGGCACTGCAGCAAAAGCAGTGGAGTGTAAAAGGATTGTACCGCAGAATTTTCTGGGCCAGGTTGAAATGGCCTCCTCTGCAGGTTGCAGCGATTTCCCGCTCACTTAAACTCCTCCACACACAAATGAAGTTGCCTAGTAAATGGAAAATCACACCGTTTACTCTACTGTCCTGAATATTCTTCATTCAAGATATATAAAACAGCAAGGTAGTGAAGTAGTGTGTGGTGACTTCATGGAGAGAAGTCGGATGAATGTGACAGAAAAACGGGCGATTGTAGGAGAGGTCTGTTTCTACTAACTGCCACACTTTATCCCCACCCCCAACCTTGCCCTGTCTTTACCCTCACACTCTCAAACACACACTGCTGTACACAGTTACAAGTGTATGCTTTTAGCACAAGCGTACGACTCGCCTTGTAATTGTGTCTGTGGGTCTGTGGTCGGCATGATAGGAGTAGAGAGTGCAGGCAGGGATGGGACATAAATCAGGACTGTGGAGAGATAAAGATAGGGAGGATGGGGGGATGGAGGAGAGCGGAACAATTATTTTACACATACTGTTCACAAAACTACTGAAAAACCTCTTTGGATATCTTTAAAACGCTTAATGATCTTAGAACATGTGCTGACCGATCGACAAATTCATGGTTGCAACTTCCATTTGGATTTTAGTTTGTAAAAAGGTTTTGTTTGGCTACATTGTGGTGCTAAATCCTAAATCGAAATCATACAGTATAGGGTTTAAAATCCTGACATCAGAGATACGAACAAAAAATTATGAATTTTAGTAAAATGTGCAATAAAACCGTTAAATAAAG